TTTATTTCAAGACATTTTCTCTAATTGTGCCCCCTCCAAACTGATTTGCACCCCCAAAAACCCCAGATGCTTCTTTGGACTAGTGTATTTTTATGGATTTGATAAGTCCATGATTTTACTTTAATTTATTTTGTTACATTGTGGCAGACAATATATAAAATTTGTATGTTTTATATGTTTATAACTGTGGTGATTTAATTTCAAATTAAACATTTTTTTAAGTCGTGCAAAAAGATGAGGTATCCTTATTAATCTACATTAATGTGTATGACAATTCAATATGCTGTAATATTTGATGCTATATGTACTTGCTTTCTTTATGCTTTTTCTTAATAATATTGAAACCCTAAAATTTTGAATGGAATTTTTTTCTTTTGTTTCTATACTTCATCTGTTAGCATTGTTATTTTGTTTCAGTAGTTGAAAGTTGAAGCGTATTAAAGACTGAAAAAAAAATACGAGTAAGACTTAAATTCTACCACACTTTCTTTTTTATTTGATAAAAATATTTTTCTAAATAATTGAATCAAATTTATTCATAAAATATTTCTGAAATGTAATAAAAAAATAAGATTTTTTGCAGCTAAAATAATGGTGTAGAATGGGGGGGGGGGGTGCTCTTAGTTGTAAGATTTTTTGTGAAAAGGGCTACTGCATCGAATAAATTTTATGAACGAACTTTGAACACAATTTGGTGTTTCAGATGGATTAATTGAAAAAAAAATTTCATTACTTGCAAGGCTTCAGATACAGTAGTAGTTTAAATTAAAAGTTATCACATGCATTTTGTCAAAAACTTCTATTTCCCGAGCAAAAAGACATTAATTTTAACAAATTTTATTAATTTATTATGATGAAATTAACTCAAATTTAATTTTGATGACCCCCTCCCCTTCCCAACACACACATAAAGAACATTACCTTTAATTGATGCGATTATCTTTTTAAGGGTTTATCTGCAAAAGAAACTATATGAGACACATTATTTCAATACTCCAAAGAAAATTTAAGAAAGACCCCGTGAAAACATTCTGATTTCTAAACCAGTTTCTAAATACTTAAACATTTGAAATAGGAAAATTATTTTTCTTCCCAAAAAGGATTATATAAGGAAAACTACCCCTGTTTGTTTGAAGAAATGCCTGGTAACGTACCTCAATTTTTTCTGAGTAAACATGTTTAAGTAGCAATGCTTCAATGACAAAATCTTTGAAAAATCCATCTATTATTTAGGAACGTCTCCTCTGTCCTTAATGCATTAATGTCGCTTTTTATTCGGGATCCTCAATTTTTAAAACATTACCTATATTTGTGTATTTAACTTCCGTGGACATCAAATACGTATACGATCACGACTTATCCCCGTGAGAGGGTTGACCTGTAAGTATAACACAACATTCCACGGGTCAACATCCAGACCGCTGATAAAAGTACACAGTCGTTATCTACGCTGTATGGCGGGCCAGGCAGGCAGTTATTGTCATTCGTAGGTTTATATTTAAATACGATCTTCTATCTGTGTTGTCCTTTCTTAAAACTATGTATTGAGCAAACTCCCATATCAATTTATAAAGTTGCCTGTAAGTGTCTAGACTTTTTGGAAAACTGTCCATTCTGTTAAAGAATGACCAGTTCGTTTTCCATAGAGGAAAGACGGCTAAAACAAAAAAGGTATCGACAACCCTTAAACAGGCAACCCATCTTCATTTCTCATTCTGAATGAAATGTATTTCTATTTGATTTATACAAAGTTATCCTCAAAACTGATATATTAAATGCGCTTTTACTAAGTGAAATATCTTAGCAATATTTTGTGCAGTTTTAAACGTAAGACAAAGTGAATTTAATATTTTATGTCTCTTTCCTGCCCCCTTATAAATGAACATGGACATTCGGGATAAAATGTGCTGAAATTTTGGATAATTTACGAAGTGCATGCTACATTTCTATTCGTTTTATGATGCAATAAAATCATAACAAAATGAGTCGAGGTGTTTTAAAGGCAAGGAATTTACATAATTTTGATTGTGCATGGAGGAGGCAAAATATGTCTGCTACTCAAGCAGACCATGTTTCAGACAGCTGGTGTTTGCAATTTAGACCTTCTACAGATTTGACACAGCCAACGAGCTTTGAAATGAACGAAGCAATCCAATTGGCTAAAAATGTAAACATTCTACCGACATTTTTCGATCGTGTATCCAAACCCAAACTGCTTTACAAAGGAACATATGTGAATTTGAATCACCAAGGATCCTTTAATAAAGACCAAAATCCGGATACCCCTTATGCGCATGTGCTGCTTCAGGTTCATGAGACACATAGGACCGGAATGGACACATTGTTAGGAATTGTGCTAATGCCACGTGGACATTTACTTCCGGTTTCTCTCGTTCGGGAAGCGTTTCTGGGAAGCTTGCTACAGAGGACGGAAGCTTGGATTGTTAAGTGAAAAAAATACTTCGGAATCCCTTTAGTGTTTATACCTATATTTAGCCCTGGTGCTGAACCACGCGACCCAATATCAAATTTCAGAGAAACCATAGATTATAATTCACTAAACTAGGGTGTTATTGCAGGCCGGCCGTTCTATATTTAGAGACGTTTCATGTGAGAAATAAGGGCATTTTTCTTTAAGCTGGGGAGATTTTGAGATATGTATTAGAACATATTTCATGCACTGTCTTTAATGGGTCATAATTCAAATGTGCATCATTTTTCATTAAATAAGTATTATTTATTTCTTGGGGGTGGGGGGATTTTATTGTTACTTTTGTTACTTTGTGAAAAATTATTTCCATTAAACAGTTTTACATGTACATGTTGTTTATTTTCTCTTTCAATTCTGTTCATGATAAAAACGTTCAAATAATGAATAAAATCTATTAGTTAATCAAATTATCTAGTCAACGATATCAGAATATTAAAATAAATAAATTATTACAAAGAAAGAAGTGCTCGATTTATTCGATTGATTATAATTCTATATCTAAAGGTGTCTGCAAAAGTCCTTCCCATTAAGGTACATGTACTTGTAATCCAATCCATATACCATATCATGTTAATAAACATTGGTATCTATCATTCATGCATATGTGAAGTATGAAAGCCATAGCCTAACTGTCCAAACATTTTGGCACGCTGAATTTTTTTAAAAAGTAGATCAAACTCCAAGATCAAAGGGTAAGGTTGTTGATATCCAATGAAAGGTCTTGTCACAAGGATTACATATGTGAAGTATAAAAGCCCTAGCCTCAGCCCTTCAAAAGTCATGGACAATATTTGTTTTTAAAAAGTAGGTCAGACTCTGAGGTCAAGGTCAAAAGTTGTTGGAATCATATAGAAGGACTTTTCTCACGGATTACATATGTGAAATATGAAAGTCATAACCCTTACCATTCAAAAATTATAACCAAGATTACAGTTTTTTAAATAAGTACAGAAATCTCAAAGGTCAAAGTCAAAAGGTTAAAGTTGTTTTAATCTTATGAAAGGTCTTGCAACAGAAAATACATATACTGTAGTATATGAAGTATGAAAGTCCTACTGTCTACCATTCAAAAGTTATGACCGAAATAAAAGTTTAGAATTTTGTGTAAAACTGTGTCAAACTCAGAAGGTGATAAAGTAAGACAATACTATTAATTTCAGAAACAAATCTACATAATTGTGTTAAAGAATCTACTTCATTTTGGCACATGACTTCACAAAACTTGATAATATTTGGATTAGAGCAAAATTTTTTACTCAAATAAACTTTCCTCCGTAGGTTTTATAGCACTACATTCTAAAGTATAATGATATTCTTCTCCTAACTGCAGAAGCTACAAACTTTCATTTCGTTTAGTACCATTCCATCTACCTGTTTCATTTGCAAGGTGGTAATTTGTGGTTCTAAACTTAACAAAAGTTTTTTTTTTCTCTAAATTTAAATGATAACAGTGCAAATACATGTATATTGTTCGCACTCAGAATTGGTTTTAAACAATTCTATAATTTAAAACTTTTCGAAGATTCTTGAAATGTTGTGAAATATGAAAGTCATAGCTCCACTAAATCAAAAGTTATGGGCACGGTTAAAGTTTTAGTGGACAAATAGACGGAGAGGCAGACAAAGAGACAGCTAGACAGACAGAGGGACGGACACAACAAAAACTTTATACCCCCGAAACTTCGTTTACGGGAGCATAAAAAGGAAATTAACACAGGCATGAAGCAACAGGGGGCGGGGGCATTTTTTTCCAAACATTACTTTTTCTATTGAAAATGTACATTGAAGGAAATGCAGTATTGTATGCCAAAAATTGGTACTGAGAGAAGTTGGCCTCTAATACCCCCCCCCCCCAAGAAATAGGATTTTCTAGTTGTTTTTTTTTGGGGGGGGTGGGGGGGGCTTGTCACCCTTCCCAGCTTATAGATAGTTTTCGATTGACCAAGAGTTACTTCCCGTTGGCCGCCATACTGGAGGTCCAAATGATCATATTCCTTCATTGTTCAACCAATTTAAAATTTTTATATTTGCTATTTTGAATTAGAAATCATTACTTTTCTGAAGTATATAAATTTTGGAAGCCTCCTCTATTTAAAAAAAATTATTCATTAAAGATTTTCCACCAAATATTTCTGCTACATCCTCTTAAACTTGGTAAGACAAAGAGGGAAAATCACTGAGTCGACCTCCAATATGGCGGCCAACGGGAGGTAACTTTCGCTAAATTCAGGCCTATCGAAAACTATCTATTAAAAGAAAAATTTTGTCTGGGGCCCCCCCCCCCCCCCGTTTCAAAAACGATGCTTCGTGCCTGTAAGAATGCTCTAGCTGCTGAACTGTAGCTCTCCGAAAAAATATATTGACACACCGGAGAGCTACAGTGCCACCCATTGAAAAAACGGAGAGCTTGTCTACAGTTCTGCAGCTAAGAAATCTGAGATAGTCTAATGGACAGATAACTCTGTAATATCCCGAATGAAGGAGAAAATGGGTTGGAGATCGAGTTGTCTTTCTTTAAATGTCAGTGCGCAAGCTCGTGTAAAGTGAAAAGTGAAAGTGCAACAAGAAGGAAGAATGAAAACATAAACATGGAATTAACGAACATCAGATGTGGATTTACTTGTCTTCTTGTCTTAATTTGTTTTTGTGGAATCGAGAAGGTAAAGTATAAAGTGTTTCCTCAATCTGTGTTATGGAATAATAATAATTAACCATACAAAAGGTAGGCCTATCTCCCATATGTTTATTGTCACCATATAGTCATGGTCAGATGATAGTCAACAGTTCGAGGTGGGAGTTGTTTAATGGCCCCCAGAACCAGTCGATACATGTCATGTCTCCCTCAAGTTGTGCCTTTAAAGCAATTTTATTTACATGAGAGAGTAAGAAAGAGTTTTACTATTTAAATATTGGCAGATTGAGGACAGATTTAAATCAACTAAGATTAACTGTCTTACAGATTAACACACATCAGAAAATCCTCTTTTAATTAAACACTGTTCAACGTGTTAATAATAAAATTCAACTTTGAGTTCTCCTCCTCCCCCCCACCCCATTTTACTTATGTGATGATGTCAAAACAGAAGCGTATGTTAGATCTAAAATACAGATCATCCTGAGACAGTGTCGTTTGACTTAGCACGCAGTCACATGGCTACTAAACATGAGTAAGTTCCACTCTTATTAAAGATCACTTACTGATTAAAACAAAATTTGAAAATGAAACCTTTTCAATATTCTAAAAAAAAATTGAAGAAAAAAAAAAGAATAAAACAAAATGGCTAAAAAATAGTTTGGGTCAGGTGTATTTTCAGAGAGTCGGTAGGCAACTGCAAACATTAACAAATGATTTTTTTTAGGCCCCATGGATAACAATGATTCAAAACTCGATAATCATGTTACATGAAGTAGTAGGTGACTCTAGACTGGGAAAATTTTAAAAATGATCATCTTTGTGAGCAATGGTCATATTACGTCATTAAACAGGACAAATTTTTTTTTTCAAATTTATCTTTTTGTTTGATACTTAACAGTGCTTAAACTTCTTTAATTTGCTTTTTCAATAACACATTTTCCTTGATGTCTTGTCTGAAGTTTGTTTAATTTATAAATATGATCAACATTGTACGACATGTACTCATTTGTAACAGACTAACAGTAGAATATAATTTAAATATTACAGTCATGTTTTGTGTAATCATCCTTTTTTAGGTTGCGTGTGATGGCAATGCTGTGATTTTTGCCAGACAGAATTCCTCTAACAGTGAATGGGGAGACCATTTCTGTGTTCTGTACAATCCATTCTTCCATTCTCTCCCACAAGAGAAGTCAAAAGCTGTAGGTATTATATCATGCATATAAAATGACACAAACAACTATCTACATTTTGCAGTTTTTAAGGATATGACTTGATTTAATTGTTTATTGTAACGTTAATTAATGTCCCTCTTGAGAATTTTTCACTCTTAATTAGACGCCACAACTTTCCGGTTGTGCAAAATTTTTTCGTATACTTGGCACTCGGCATGCTCAGGGCTCCACATTCCACAGTAGAATTTGAACCCACGACAAAAGGAGCAACTCCTTCACTTTGCAACTCTAGACAGATGTTCTAACCACTAGTGTGTCTCACAGTTGACTTTAAGGAAATAAAAAGTTGATTGAATAAATCTAACACAGTGACATAATTTATTCTTCACATCTATACATGTCTGTATAGATTGTACCAAGTGGCAGAGATAAATTACAGGATTTATTTCATTTGGTGTAGCAGTTCACAGCTGAAGAGCTGTGTTCATTAATGCTAGTTCATTATGATGTGCTGCTCTGCTACTACAATGATACTGCTCAAGATTTTTTTTTTCAAAAAATAGTTTTACTAGAGTTTGTTATACATGGACTGTGTCAATAATTGTAATATCTACAAAATGCCTATTAAGCTATATAACACTGTACATTTAGAAGGAAATTATTTAATAGCAATATTGATTTTGTACTAAATCAAACTTGCACCATACAGATGAATTACAATACAGTAAAACAGGCCTATGGAAATATAGTCCTGATGTAATTATTTGATCTAAAGACACTGAATTACATAGGTGTACACAATTATACATAGAAATTGATCAAGTCCTTTTTGAGTTAGCTTGTATTCCTTCTTTTTTTTTTTTATTCAGAAGGCCTATGGCCTGGTGAACTTGTCCCAAGATGAGGGCTGTTTTTCCAGTAGTGTTTACACCAATAAAACTGACGTCAGAGGTAAAATCGTGGCCTTCTCCAGAGGTAATCGAACCTGTACCTTCACAGAGAAAGCCATGATGGCCAAGAAACACGGTGCAGCGGGGATATTGATTGTGTCCGAAAACAAGGTAGGGGTGGGAACCAGGAAACAGGAAGGTGTCTGGGTACCAGATAAATTTCAGACAAAGTATGTGTACATAAGACGGGTACACAGATTCATGACAATCTTTCTGAAAAAACTAATTGTAAATCTCTAACTTGTATATATACATATTTTGTGATCACATGGGTATGTCATGTCTCTCAATCATTCTAACATATTGGAAATGCTCAGTCATGTTAATATAAAACTATGCTTCCAATAGTATTTTTTTCTCAAAATTTACTACACTGTATGAACTCTGTATTCAAGTCGCATTCTAATTTAATTGTACAGACTGTATGATAATTTCCAGATCTACCCCGGGGCCAATCAGACGACACAATCAACATCATCGTAGCCAGCATCAAATCTACAGACTTCTTAGACATTCTGGTAATTATAACATTTTAACTTTTATTTGTTATTTTTTAAAATGTACATGTAGGAGATGCATCAAATAAACATGTCAGTTGATACTGCAAGTGCAAAGCATGCAGATAAATGAATATTTTAGAATTACTTATATTGTCCTTACCCCAAAATTTCGATCCCCCCTTACAATCATCCTTACCCTGATGTTTTGACCACTCCTGCCCTGTACCCTCCTGCAATGATACAGAGCATGGCCAGGAGGAATGTCTCGAAGAAAAGCGACACGTACAGGTTTGTCTTATAAATATAAATTCACTTGACTCATGAACAATGTTACAATGTTGTCACACTTGTTTTGAAAAAATAATTTTATTTAATTCCATGATACTAGCTTCATACGCAGGTTGGTTTGTTTGGAATAAATGTACGTTAACTCATGTTTTGACACGGAAATTAAAATCAATTTATTTATCGATTGTAATCGTGATAAGAAATCCTCCCTTTTAAAATTAAATTTATAATACTTTTTATATATTATATAGCCATGATTTTTCTTGTCATTTATTTAATCATTTGAAGATTGATTATATTTATGACATATTCTTATGAATTAAAAAAAAAGAAAATAACGATTTGTTTGCTTCTTTATCACGTTGGCATGTGCGGTAGGCATCAAAAGCCTGAAAGTTAATTCGATGCTCTGTACGATCTCGAGACAAGGTACACAAGATATACACAACAGCAGCAAACTAAATGTCAATCAAATCAAAGTATCCAATCCTAGGCTTAATTTCAGATGATTGACAGAGGTTCTAAGACCAGGTAAATTTGAAGGAGGTGCTTATTTCCTCCCCCTTTAATTTTATTTTAATATTCTTTTTGTACTAAATATTTCGTGATTGTACGTAAAGAAAAGCATGTTCATTTGCATAAGACAAACCTTTTAATTTTACAGACAGACAGGCGGGTATTATTTTTCAAATTTTCGTTTCTTTTCCATAAAATCAATATATTCACAGGTCTAGCATAAATAAAATTTCTTTACAAAAACAGGTATACATTATTTCAATGAATTCATTAAACTTTGCTTTACATGTATATGCACAATGCTA